TTATATAAATAACATTATAAACCCTAAAATATTTTATCGATTTTGCACAGTTAGAGAACTACATACAACAAGCTTCCTCTTCCTCTTCCTCTATTCGTGCACAGGCGTGTGCGTATACACTGTTACGCACAAAATGAGCCTCGCATAGTGACAGCTTCATCTCCCTGGCTTCAAATTAAGTAGCACACAACTTTCAAATTTTCATTTCATTCTAGCTGCTCAGGTAGATTCTCACTCACCTACTCTTCCTTCTTCATGTAAAGGCTGCTCGATTCGGCGTAAATGGGCGTCCTCTCCTTCCTTTTCCACGACTCGAAGCGGATCATGACTATACATCTCTTCTGTGTCGCTCGAGCCCGCACAAGAAAGTATGTAAGTTTTAATTGTCTCCTCGCACAAAATCTTTTCCTTCCATCGATTACGACACATGTGATGCCTCATTTCATCTCACTAGAGGATTTGAAGAGAGGGAGAGGAAGTGAGTAGTCAGTAATACGATAGGGTATCTACATTCTAGCATATAAGGGAGGTAGAGGCAAGATCCATTTTCTTGGGGAGTTGAACGGCATAGACGAAGGCATGAGACCAACGAACGCAGGTTAGATTTTCCCAATAGCTGAAGAAGGTGTGGTTGGCGGAAGACGTTTTTGATCGTCAAACAAAGGAGTAATCGATGTTGATAGCAGCATCATTGACGACGTGGCAGGCTGGGAGGCTCGTGCGTAGCAGAGAAGATGTCTGATCGCCAGAGCAGAAAAGGAGGAAGAAGAAAGAGGAGTTTTGTGCGTGCGTACAATGTTTGACCGAGCCTCAGTACAGGGGGAAAAACAACACATTGCGAAGGAATCTTTTAATTAAGCCCATTACGCTCGTACGAGAGTTAGGGCTTTCGCTTTGGATATATTAATGGTTAAGGGGGGTAAGTGTAAATCTTTCATTGAAGTTATTTAATTAAAATTATATATATAAGTTTTTTCTTTAAATGTTAAATTTCATCAAATTAAAATTCTTTTTTCAAGAGGTATCATTTGTAGTAAGTCTTCTTAGTCATTCCAGAATTTATCTTTAGACCCATTTTCTAAACCTACTTGAGGAGCACAAGCATTTATAATATTAAAAATCTTAGTATCAATAATAACCTCAAGAGATATAATTTTATCTCCAACTCTATTAATTTTTACATTATTGTTATTCAAACTATTATCTATAATTACTTCTACACCATTTCTAGTGCGACTCTTGCCAAAATACCACAGTTTAAAACTTAAGTTATCAATCTTTTTAGTTTTTTCTCCAATCCATTTGGTTTCTTGAATACATAAGATATTAATCTTTCTATGAATCATAATATCAATTAATTTCATTAATTTATGATTGAGAGTACATATATTCCAAGATCCTATCCTAATATTAGTTTCATTAGTTTTATGGACTAATTTCTTTACCTGCATCCGTCAGTAATATGAGACCCTTGCTTATTTGACACTACATCCGGGTGCCGGTATAACGACCCTTGCACACATTTCACTGTATCAAGGTCATACAACCCCTCGCTTCCAGGGGACGCCCTGATACTTACACAATGATCAAAATTCAGAGACTAAGTATCCAAAATACATAAAAGCTAGCAAAAGTCTTCTAAACCAGGTTCTAAGCAGCTTTTACTAAAACATCAACTAAACCGTAATTTTAATTAGATTAATATTAAAACAATAAAAAGGGCCCCACATGGCTAAGACAGCCAAGGGACATGAAAACAACTTTGTAGCGAGATGAACTTTGGTTCTACTTTAATTTTGCAATAGCGGAAGCCGGACGCGAGAACTCTTGCAATAGTCACTCGAAGGAGTGGCTTTGCCTTTTTTTTTTGGAAGCTTTTGGAATCGATCTATCACCATTATAATAAGTTCATTATCTTGTTATGTCTGAAGCAATTCCACTACAAAATTCTTGCTCATCTCCAGACGACTCTGAAAGTATGTCAGTCCAAACTTTATTCTGGTAGAATAAATAACTATTATTTCTTGGCACAATCGATGTTGGAATTGCACATAGGCGAGTATTCTCACGAGCCAAGTCTTGAGCCATGAAGTTTGTAACCAACTTCTCTCACTCATACATGGCTAGGTGCATAAACATGTATGATTCGAGGAATCGACCCTAGAATGAAATCTCTGGCATGCTTGGCCCTTCTTAATGGCACAACCAACGAGGTAGACTTCCGGTTAGGGCATATAACGACTCTCCCATAGGGGTTGTCCTGTGTCTGGTATCAGCTCAAACTTACTATTTTCTAAGACCACCCGTATTAATCCTGATGGTGCTTCTCTCATAACCGGTAAAAATGTAGCACAAGGCACGATAGCTTCTAGCTCTGTTCGAGCACTCATCATTGCTGATTTATTTAATGGTGGAAGTACAATATGTTTTTGCCCTTATTAAATGTTTAGGCATTTTGTGGCCATCATGAAGTATGCTCTCTTCATACTGTCACGATTGGCCCAAAAGAAGTTGACAGTGATACAAAGGCATGATATCACACCAAATTTGATGCTGCTATTTGTCTCCAATTTTAAATGCTATCAAGCATCTCTTGTCAACATCGATCTTGTTCCCCTTCTTCAATCAAGTCAGGAATATGGCTAAGAAAAATTTTGAGTAGTGAAGCTCAATTTATCCATCTGATAGCATTAAAAATGCTATCAAACATCTCTTGTCAACATCGGTCTTGTTCCCCTTCTTCAATCAAGTCAGGAGATGGCTAAGAAAAAATCTGAGTTGTGAAGCTCAATTTATCCATCTGTTTAGATACCACATTTTCACAACTGTCTTTATTTATAATGAGGATGCGCTCATCCTCTTTACATTGTAATGGGTACAAAAGATATACCTCAGCCACTGTTGATCTCTCTTAGGTTTATTCTAGATAACTCATCAAACCATAAGCATCTCATTATCTACGGGTAGTTGGTACTCTCCATTCTCCTCCCCTGGGTTTTCGCTCTGTTTCACATCTATTGCACCATGTTCAATAAAATTAATTACTCTCCTATCAGGCAGTTGGATGTAATTTGATTCTATCCATGGCATTTGAAACTTCCTAGCTGGAAATATTTTGAGGGTGTAGTTTTGCTCAGTCATTTTTTTCTTTTGTGTGATTTTCTGTTCACAAGGGGTAGGTCTAAGTACTCTGGTCAGTGCACTCTTATTATTTACTATGAAGGTTGAATCTTGTTTAAAAGGTTGTGTGAACCTGATGCATGCTCTCTTTACCTTCAATACTAGGATATGAACATTTGTAATGTCCAATAGGGTTGTAAAAATACCACATTGTCAATCGACTATCTCAACCTCCCAAGATATCGAACTATGGTGTTCTCCTCGAGCTTTACTAGTTCACACTTCAACATAAGGTTGCTCAAATGTAACGGTCTCAATGATTTTTTTTCTGTAAGTGGTGAAGTCCTAAGAAGATGTCATATTTGTAATGTACTAATAGTTACTTGGGATACATCTCTCTTTTTATTTTGGACCAGGTAATAATTTTCTTTTTCCCCTTATGTTGACGTAGACGCTTCAATTTTTTCCACCACAAGAAAGTGTTTTTCCTGAGCTTGATAGCTATCAATTTAACTTTTTTATCCCGAGGAACGTCTTTGTTCACAAAAATTCGTTCAACTTTTTGGAGTCACTCAATGAACTTATTCAAATCCACACAACTGTCAAAATTCGTTAGATTCACCTTTACTCTAAGTCACTCTCTTTCTCCTCCTATAATCAATATTGAATCGATGTGACACCGACTTGTCATCACTTGAAGCTTTTTGGTGGAAAGGGCTTTTTTCATTTCTTTTATCTTGGTGGTTACCGTTGTTATTATGGGTGAATTTTCCATGTTATTATTTTTTTTCCAAAATCATTGTGCCTCCACTACAATTGGAGGATTTCTCACTCCATGTCCCCCATAATAAGCTCTTGAACACCTTGTTGCGGGATTTTCCTTGGCAGCATGGCTGTTCTTCCAATAAAAATTTCAGTTGAAAGGGAGGTGGTGGTTTAGGGTTTGGGTTAGCACTAGGTGGATGATTACAGATTTTTTTTTTTTGGTTGTGAGGGTATAGGTTATGTTGTGAGTAATTTTTGTTTGGCAACGAAGAAAGTTAAACTTCTAAAAATTTTTAAATTTTCGGACTTTGATATCAAATAACACCATTCTAAGGCTCTTAGAAGGTTAATAGGAAGTAGAGTTAGCGGGTAGGTGGTTGTGAAATAGTAAGAGGATGAGAATATATGAGCCTTACAATATTTGGAAAGTGATAAGGGACAATCGGCGGTTGTTTGGACTGAAAATGACAGTCGAATGGAAAGACGGTGAGGTACGGATGGTGTGAAGATCCCCTGCCTGTTTCTGGGTAAGCCATAGATGCCATTTACAAAAGGAAAAATGCTACAACGGTCCGGAAAGCAAAGCAGAAACTCAGAGAATAAGCTTTCAAAATACATAAAGTCAAGCAAAAGTCTTCTAAACCATGTTCTAAGCAGCTTACTTATGCTAAGACATCAATTAAACCCTAGTTCTAATTAGACTAATATTAAACCAATAGAAAAGGGCCCCACATGACTAATACAGTCGTGGTAGGAAAACAGGGCTGTAGCGGATTGACTCCGGTTCTGCTTCAAACAGCGATTGCGGGACCACGGGATGCGGGACATGAGACTTCCCATGTCAATTCATATATGTAAAAATGAAATTTTTGGTGATAGATATGTAAATACATAGGAATTGAGTTGTATGTGGTAAATATATATATATATATATAGTTGTATGTGTGTAAATATATATATATATATATATTTTTAATATTTCCTATGAATACCCACGTGACACTGAAAATGTGACTGAAATTTCTTATTAGTTTTGTTATGCTTTATTAAATGCCTTCTTTAATCAGTTTAATGTAAAGTAGCATAGTATTAAGTTTGTTGTATTTGTGGCTCAGGATTGTGGACAACCTGGATTTACTTTGTCTGAGAGGCGGCGTTTTAGCAACATACTGTCCCAGTGGGTGAATATATTTGAAGTCACCTTCTTTATTGCACATTTTTTTCTCCAAAATACTTCAGCTTACATCATATATTGGAGATTTTGAACTTCTTATGTCCTTCGCTAACTAAGATTCTATTTATTATTTTATGTTTTCTCCACTTCTTGATGAACAACTCTTCTCTAAAAGCCAAATCAGATTTACCCTTGGTATGTTTTGTGCTTATTAGCTAAATAAAATCAAATGACTCTAGAACCAGATGCTGCTCCTTAGAATCAATTAGCCTTTTTTGCATTCTCTCAACATAAATGTTTCCGCTCTTTTCTGCAGTTGTGAAATTTTCTCTTATCTTCTTATGTCTATAAAGTATGGTTTTCTAACCCCTATGAAACCTAGTAAAACTTCTCCATTGCAGTAATGGACCGTTACAATGCCATATAAACTTGCAAACCGTAAAAGGGCGAAGGTTATTCCCTCTTAAGCCTATTGTGGGTAGGGGGGATTTAAGACTATATGGATCAACCCACCTCATAAATGGCCAAATTTCATATTACATGAAATCTTTAAGAGGGTATAAATGAAACCTCATCAATTCAAATTTGAGACTAGTCGAATGTTACCTTTTTCAAGCTTATTTATTTACTAGTTTATTGAGCTTGAACTTAACATAAATATGATCTAAGCTTTAAAATTTTCTTAAAAATTATTTACTTATTTATTATTAAGCTCTTGTTAAAAATAAGGTTTTAATCAAGCTTAAATATCTATGTAAGTTGCTAATAATTCAAACTTAACTTTGTAATTGAAGATAACTCTCCATAGCTGATAAAATTTGAATTATTTCAGTTTCTCAAATATGCTTTTATTTTGAGAATATTGTTGCTATTTTAATGTTCTTATGTGTGTGTGTGTGTGTTTCATATAAGGCAGGAGTAAAGTGCATAATATGCGGCAAACTCATCATAAATAAAAGAATGTGATGCTCCTAAATCGAATAAATTAGTATTAGGGTTGATCTTAAATTAGAAACATACTTGTAACCACTTCTTCAGATTCTTTGGCTTCCTGATGGGTAGTTGCAAAAACTCAGACTTTTATTGGTTACTCGGCTCTGCGCTCTGAAGTTTCATTTTTTGTTAAAGTTGAAGGCTTTCCCAAAAATTGTGTTTTGCTTGACTGACCACTTTCTAAAATTTTCTAGGCTGCCTTTGTCCTTGACTTGTTAGTGCTCTGCTGTCACTTTTCTTTTTCGGCAGACAGTTCATTTGAATATGCTCTGATTGTCCACATTTGTGGCATTTTTATGAATATATCAAACACTGCCCGAAATGCCTTTCTCACATTTTTCACAAACTAGTTTTTATTATTGTGTATGCTTCTGCTTAACTTTTGATTTAATTTTCTTATTTTGGAAATAGTCTCCCTTGCTAAAATCCTTTCGCTTGTTGGTTTGAGGTTGCCACTACTGACTAGAGAAATTCAGCTCGTTTTAAATTCTTTTGGCTCTTTCATGAACACTTAAAAGTCACTTATTTCGAATCGTGTCAAAGTCAATTTCAACCGATCTTTTGAGGTTACGCAGAAATTTGTGATATTTTCCTTCTGGGTACTAACATAATAAGGTCCATATTTGAAAGAGAATTGAATTATGCCTCATATTGCATAACTGATTTGAACCTCTGAGTCAGATTGAAGAATTTTTCTTGTCGCAGTAATCTGGCTGAAGGCGGAGTAAACCAATTTTTGAGGACTTTAACAATTTCATTCCACTTAAATTGTAAACTGAAAATTTTCTCTATGTTACGCTTTCCACCACCTCTGCCTCGACTTCTATGTTATGTCTGCCATCACCTTACCCCAAATATCATATTAAGCAATGATAAATGTTGCACCTTCAATATAGAAGTTATCAATAATCTCTCTGATACAAACGGTTCCCTATATTTTGTCACTATCTGATCACAATGGTTCTTAGAATTTCGCCACTGTCTGAATACCAGTAGTCTGGGATGTCATATCTCTGCATAGTGTATTTGCAATCACTCATGCAATAGTTCACTTATAACATCACTTGTGACATTTAAATCATCATTCATGCATCAAACATTCATCACAGACATTTGATATATCATGTATATGAATCATAGCAAATAAATACATACAAGCAATAAATTTTATAAGCATATTCATCTATATCATATCATAGCATAGCATCACTTTTATCGTAAAAGAAGTCAACTTCAGCTATCCATCTACAATATGCAAGAAATGCTAAATACATTAGTGTTAAACGTAGAATCAAATGAAAACCTATAAACTTTTTTTTTTAATTAGCACAAGATTATTTCACCTAACTAACCCTAGAAAGAGTTCCCACACGCTTGTCTCAATCTCACCATCTCATATAAACAACCTGGAAATCATAGACATCGTAGAAATTCATGAATTTGAGCTCATATCGTGATTTAACCTTAAACATAACTTATTTGTCAAAACATATCTCAAACGGGCTTCTCAGCCTAAATCTGTCATTCCGATGTCCCATATTTTATGCCTTTTTTTCCTAACACGCCATTCTTCCCTTCCTCTCGGTAATTTCATGCCGATAGTCCTTACAGATGCTTGCAAACCAAGTTTTATGCTTCTAACACAAGTTATACGCCTGCTACGGCTACCGAAATTAAATAAATGCCCAAATTGGTTGGTATTTGTCAAAACGGAAATAAGAGGAAGGAAGGGAATGTTTAGAATAGCGTGAAAGAGGGTTTTGTAGATTTTGATTTCTTCTTGGACCACTGAACGACCACCTGCAGCACTCGGCGGGTTGCGACCGCTCTCCGTTCGTGACCTGGAGCAGTAATTGATCGTAGGAACTCATAGTGGAAAGAAGTTTGGAGGTAATGAAGGGAGGTTCAACACTTAATGCCATTCTAATGCTTGTCAGTCATCTGACCTACCCTACGACTGAAAAATGCAATGGGAGGCCGGTTAGGTGCACAGTGCATGTACGGGAGATTAGAGAATAATTAAATGTCAATTAAATTATTAAACTTATAACTTTTGAATTTTATTTCTCCCATTATATTCATAATTAATACATAGTGTTATATATCGATTTGATTGATTTAACTAGTATAAAATTGATTCGATTGAGTTTGGTAGGATGCAAAATTTGAGATACTCTTAAAATTTCCCGAACTTTTACCTAATTTTCAAATTTTGGGCATTACAGATTCAACGTATGTTAAGAAAGGCAAAGGTAGACCTTAAAAGACTTGGGCATATTGTATAAAAAATGATTTTAATTTATTAGAATTAAATGAAAATATAAAGCTGAATAGGACACAATGGAGAAAAAGGATTCATGTAGCCGATCCTACTTAGTGGGATAAAGATTTGTTGTTGTCGTTGTTTGTACCCTTCTTATAATTTCGTACTTTAAATCTCATGCTTGTGAGCCTTTTTCTTATGGTTGGATTATAAATTTTTATCTTACTACTTTCTTCATTTTTAACAGAGGAAAACTGATCGATGCTTATAGATTTATTCACAAGGAACAAGACATGGAAAGAGGATTTTCTTGGTCTGGCAACCCTGTTGGCAAGTAAGAATATCAATGAATATCAATTATAATGGATTGCATGGGAAGTGCGAAATATATATATATATATAATATATATATATATATATATATTACATGTGTGCGTGCACATGTTTATATTTATGTATTATATTCTTGTTGTTATAATTAACATTAGAACTTTTGCCTCATTATTTCAGATGCTTTAATTTCTGGGAAAGGATCTGAGAATGAGTTTTACTCCTATTTTCCTGTATTTTCATTCCATTTTATTAGTGAAGCAATGAATAGTTGTGAAATCCTCGAAATTTTAGCTAACTAGGGTTTCCTTATTTTTATTTTTATTGTCAAAAGATTGTTTCCAAATTTCTTACTTCACAACCCTTCAATTTCATTTGAGTTTTGCAGTATTCCCTGAAATTGTGAAGAAGCATTTTGGTAACTGTATTCAACAACAAAAGAAATATTCTCGATTTTGGTAACTATCAAGGAGTCAAATTTAAGATTCACATACATTGAATATTTCTGAGAGGGTAATGTAACATATAAAGAAAATATGTCAATATTAAAGAATCAATTTAACTTTGTGCTCCAAAGAGTAATTTTAAATATGATATTTCACTCTTTTGCAATTAATAAAAAAATTTCAACAAACAAATAATTTTCATATATGTTTATTGATCTTAAAAAAGCATATGATTGAGTATTATGATAACTGATTCAATGGCCATCAAACAAAAATTTTGTTTTAAGTTATTTTGAAGATTACATATATTTTTAAAATTTATGAGTATTAGAAGTAAGGGGTTCCCAATCATGTAGGCATATATCAGTATCAATGGTAAATTTGTATAATTTTTTTAAGTTATGGAGCCATTCACAACAAATATTTCTATTCAGTTTACTTGGTGAAAATGCTTTTTATTGATGATATACTTTTTATCAATATGAGCTCTATTGAATTAAGTGAAAGATTAATGCAATGAAAATATATTTAGAAGATAAAGATTTAGAATTAATAGAAAATTGGAGTATATAATATGAGTAGCTGTAATATTACTAATTATTAAATAACATCACTAGGATATAAATTAAGATATAGGTATGACAAGTTTTAAGTATCTAGTATCATGTATCTATTATATACAAGAATGGAGATATAGATGACAATAACTTCTAAAGTTAAAACTTGGTGATTTACATTGAGGAGTATCTCTACAGTATTATTTGGTAAGAGAATTTTATTTAGACTTGAAGGGATAATATTATCCAACTAAATTATGCTACCATTACTATATGGATCAACCTTGTTTATAGATAACTGGAGCGTGATAGAAATAAAAGTGTTTAATATGTATGTTCAACAAACTCAAAAAGGATGCAGTATGACATGACTATATTAGAGAAATGGTGGTAATAACATTTTTTAAGGATAAATACTGACAAGTAGATTTAGATAGTTTGCACATGTTGATTGAAGGGTAGAAGGTGATGCACTAGTAAATAAAAATTGTGTTGAATGGTTTGTAAGATAAAAAAGTAACCAATGTTGAATTGGAAAAATTTGCAAAAAAAAAATTACAAACTAAGTTTACACTTAATGCGATACTATGTGCAAATTTGAATTAATGGAATAGCAACCATTGTTGGTGTTGGAAGGCTTGAACATTTGAATGCATCTCTTATACCTAAGTGGTTGTTTGATTTCCTTAGATCCAGATGAGCCTTAATATAGTCAAAAAATTTATATTAAAAAATTTTGCAGAAAGAGAATTATGGGAGGTTGTTTTCAAATACTAGATTTGGTCAGCATTCATTAGACTTTGAGTTATTCCACGTTCCTTTTAACAAATCTATTTCTATTTAACTGAAATTCTTGCCACAAGAGGCCTCAATAGAAGACCTGTTGTATAATTCACGGGCAAAAGTCTACAAAAAATATAATTCAAGGAGTATAAAATAGATTGATTGAAAAAAATACAATTGTAACTGAGTAAGAACTACGCAGACATGGGTGATGTGTGGTTTTACAAATATATCAAAATTTGGAGATCCCTTAAGCATGTTCATTGAAAAGCCAATCACTTCTACAAATGAATAAAAAATTGAAAGTAATGAGTTATATTGTTCGATGAAATATAAGCATTACAAGGAGCATCTTGATAATAGGAGCCATCTACACAGGAGGTGGAGATGCTGGCTAAGTTGGAGGAACCATCATGACTCTAGAAACTCGACGAGGGAGGCATTTAAGTAGGAATTTGAACTGGGGAGAGGGATAATTGCAAGTGCCGCCTGATTGTAGTGAATATGTGTGGCAAGGATTGAGGACAGGGATAGAAAGTTTTCCCAGGGAAAGTAGCTGACAAGAGGAATGTGAGCACAAAGCTGTGTACACAAACGTACATGAGCATAGCAGCTAGGTAGATGAAACCAAGACACCGATTATGAGCTATCCTAGCTATTTGGATTGGCATTAATATTCCATGCTTTAGCTTCTATTTTTTCATAACCATTGAAAAAATTATACATGTTTGGTTAAAACCCTTTTTCTTATCGGATCTTTTGCAACATTCATATTTTCTTAAATGTTGTTGCAACTGCTCTCCCCTTGAAGCGGGGGCTAAGGGGGGGCTGAACCAACTAACCGGTTCAGCTATATGGGAAAGGGTCGGCCGGCCCTTGGGCTGGGCTAGAGGTTGGCTGCCCAAGGGGAGTGGCCTCCCCCTCTTTAATTATCTACTATTATAAATTTTTCTTTTGCTTTGTTTAGGATTAGCTTTGTTGAAATTTTTGTTTGGACAGCCGTTGGCGCCCCATTTTCCTTTTTTAGGGCTGTATCCGATAGGGAGAAGGTGCTCTGGCTGTTACTTTCATCCTGATGTGGTGTTTATCTTCCCCTCTTCTCTTTGTTGCCGCTGCTCTTGCATCCTATCTCCCTACTGCTAACTATCTCCTCTCTCCCGTGACCAGCCATCGTTCCCCCTTGCCGTGTGCCAACAGCAGCCCCTCCTTTCACCATGCTGCAACCTGGTGTCACCCAACCACCTTTTCTCTGCTATCCTCCAAACCGCACTCCCACCTGTCTACTTGCCACCGCCAGTCCCCCGAGCTTTCTGCAGCCCAACCGCCTTCTCCTTACACAGCTATCCAACCACACCTTCCCTTTCCCCTCCCCCACCGTAATCCCCTGCTAGCCCTCCTTCCTCTCCTACATAGCAGCCAACCTTCCGCCCCCCACCCAGTTCAAACCTTTCAACTGCAGCACCAACACCCTAATTTTGTGTCAAGTCGTCTTTTTTTTTTTTTCAAGTGTCTTGTTTGTAACTTTTTTTAATTTCAGCAATAAAGACATTGTTCCATTGTGATTTTTTATTTAATTCCAGTATCACTGCTAATTATCATTGGAATATTCTTATCATCTAGTTACCTCACAATGAATGGAGTTGTTTTGTGCTGGAAATTTGGTAATCTACTTTTTTATACTTTTTTATTTGCAGTTTTTTTCATCTTACGGTTCTAAAATTTACAAATTTATAATGCTCTTTCAAATTCTTAGTACAAATCGAGGTTGCAACTTTGTTTTCATAGTAGAAATGGGCATTGGTTTCCTAGATAGCTTGCGTGCAAGTTAGAAAACTGAACTGTTTCCATTCTTGTAGGTATCGAGGAAAAAGAATGAGGATCGACTATTTTATAGTATCAGAGAAGCTGAAGGACAAGATAATTTCATGTGATATGCATGGGCATGGAATTGAGCTAGAAGGTTGTATCACACTGGCACTCATACACGTGATTTTAAGTTACATATTTCAAATTTTTTACCAGGATCTGTAGGCTATATTTACTATTTGCGAAACACCATCTCTGCTTCTCATGTGACGCATGCATGCATATGGTGCATGTTTAGCTGATCTGGAATCAAGTAACACATTTGAATACCTCGGATGCATATTTGATAGCAATATGGAGCACGTAAAATGTGATGTAGGTGCCAAAATATAAGTTTGGAAGACTTACATACCTCTCAATCCCTGTGTATTTGCCCATTTAACACCAAAACTTCAATTTTTACATTCATGGTATTTTATGCATGAAAAGTTTTATTTCACCTTTTAAAAGTTAAAATGGTGATATTTTTTATGTGAAATGAAAGAATTGGGTGCTATAACCGTAAAAAAAGTAACGTTTACGTGTTAGATATGTAAACACATAAGAATGGCATGGGATGTATGTAAATGCCCCTATAATGTTATGATGAGCTGCTCATAATATCGTAGGCGTTATCTTTTGGATTCAACTGTCTGTTGTATAGTCCTTGATTAATATCTCATGTCAATGTCAAAAATGTTTTTGACAAAATATATTTGATGTTAGAAATATGTCTTCGTGATGAACCTGAAAAATAATTTGTTTTTCTGCATCACAGAGAAAACAATTTTTTATTTGCATTCATACCCTTGTTGGGACCTGGACCTGCATAGGTTGATGGGAACTAATGAAGTTTGCGACACCTTTCAAGATGCAGGGCTTAGAACCGAATTATGGATGAAAGGCTTTTTATACATGAGAAATCCAATTTTCACCAGCTTTTTATTTCTAAATGCAACATAATTACTGTTTGAGGATCAGGAAGGAGTAGTGATAGATCTTAATATGTATGGATAAAAGTTGTTCAAGATTATTTGTTAATAATAGGTACAACATCTTTTAGAAATCATTCAATTGATGTTTTTTTAGAAAATAAGGACTCATAATTTTGGCTCGTAATTGATGCAAGAGCAACCGAGGAGGCATTTTTTTGCGATCATTGCTATAGTACCACTGCAGTACTGTCAACTCCAGTGAGTAGGCATTGCTTGGACCGGTCCAAGAGGGCCAGTTGGCCTTTCCTTTAAGTAGATTTCCCTCATATTGGGAGTGGGGTTCACTCCTATTTACCCTAAGTCAATAAATATGTTGTTTTTTTTGTATTTGTAAGTAATTTTCGGCATAGATTTCTGTCAAAACAGCCGCCAGCGTTCGCTTTTTTGGTGGAGGGGTGGGGTGGGGTGGGGTGTTATCTCTCTCTCGAGGTGGTGTTTATCTTCCCCATTCCCCTTTCGTATTCTCCCCATACTACTGCCTGCCATTCCCTGCTGCAGCTGCTCGGAACAACTATCGAAGTTGTTGTTCCTGCAGTTTTTGCATTCCAGCCCAAATTCCCTACGATTCCAACGCCCTGCTTGCTGCCATCGCTGTTACAGCGCCCTGCCTTCCACCATATCTGTTGTCCTTCCAAATCAATTGCCAACCCTCACTCTTGCTGTTTTCGACAATTCTCAGCCTTCCAGCTGTCCCATACTCGTTTCCATTGACTTCCAACCCTCTGTCGCTGCCTTCACTGTCTCAGCCCTCCACTGTTGCTGTCACTGTCATGACACTTTCTCATTGTTGTTTGTCTATTGTCTAGCCACCACAAACACTGAATTTTCGTTGTTTGGACTGTCTTCTCTTGTTGCCCTACTTTCTCAGCCTCCCATAATTATTTTTGTTCCTCATTTATAGTCGGGAAACTCCTTTCCTACCTTACCGCTACCTTTCCAAGCCGCCTAACCATCACCAGCATCGCCCGAAATCCGCCCTAACGTGAGTTTTTGTTGTGTATTGTATTTTTCTTTTAAAGTTTGTTTGATTGTAACCACATATTTGTTTGCAGTAATGATATGTGATTTCTTTTTGTTCTTTGGGTTAACCTCGATATCATTTGATATCAGAGCTAGCACAATCTTAGTTCAATCATAATGTTTCTAGCATCGGCCTCACCCAAACATATCTCCCCCTATTTTTTTTTTCTTATCCTAAATCACCCTTACACACCTCTTTCCACCTACCCACACCCAAAATCTAGTCATTTTGTCAAGGAGATCATCATCACAAGCTTGGTCGAGAGGAAAGGACACGATGTCGTTTATGAGAAATTCACAAAGTGGTGTCCAGGATATTTCTAGGGAGAATATGCAGTGGATTCAACTACAACCCTTGCTTACCACCTTCAAGAGAGGCAATATGGATTGGTCACCTTTTGCCACAACGATGACTTGCTAGATCGAAGAGATGGAATGAACCTATTTCATCATGTGAATTCCAGGGATGAAGAATCTCTATCTCAAATATGTGACCTAAAATATCTGATAAGTCAAGTTTGAAGTAAAAATGAATTTGTCATATTTCAATAGCCACATTGATCCGGACGAGTTCATTGAGTGACTTTGGACCTTGGAATGTGTCTTTGAGTATCTGGACGTCTCACCGGATGGAAAAGAAAGTAGCTACCAACAAGCTGAAGATGATTGCGTTATTTTGGTGGAAAAATTTAAAGCACATATGCCAACTTCAAGAAAAAGACAAGATCACTACTTGGTTCAATATGAAACAGTAGATGCAACGTCTATACTTGCCAACTCAGTATAGACTAGAGTTTCAGACCATAGCTTCAAAAGTGGAGAGACCACATCATCAGGCGACCCCCACGTCTTACAAGCAAGGTTCAACCCCAGGATCTTATAGTAAAAGTATACTCAAGAGAACATCCAAACAGTGGAGAATAGGTAGAGCCAATCTACAATCTCAAATCCATTCTAGCCATAAAGTGTTTTGAGTGTTATGGATTTGGGCATATCATATCAAATCGCGCAACTAAGAGAATGATCTCTTTCATGGATCTAGGTGCAGTTGATGTAAAACACTGTGATCTGGGAGAGGATAAAAATTTCATAAAGGATGAGGAAGAAATGCTAGTGATTGCAACTAAACCCACGAGAGAGACTCTAGTTGAGTTGACAATAATTGTTCTATAAGGTAGTAAGTTTGAGATACTGAGTGTTCATAAAGAGTATGTGGTTATGGTGCCTCGAATTACATTTTTGCAGGTGTTATTAGTATCATCAGCTGGATTGGCATTAGATGTCCGAAAGGGCCATGAATTTGAGAAGCCAATGCTAGACACAGTCACTCAGGGCAACTTCAGATAATAGGAAGTCGTTTAAGCATTAAAATCAGTTCAACAGTGTACCCCTGGAAAGAGGATCAGACGAAATGGATGAACTGTAGTGTTAGGTATCACCTCAGGATCTTTTTGGGGAAGATATTCTACAGTGAGTTCCAGGTCCTACCAAAGAAGTTTGTCAGGAGTAGTTGCTAATAAGAGTGGCTCAGTCTGCCACAGATTTCATCCCATAGTTGATTTCTCCTCACATACTTGTTTATCAGATACATCTGGCTAAATATGTTGATTGGGAGAACCGATTATAGATTTACTTGTTTCGGATTGGACTCATGAGAATTTATGTTGTTATGAAGCTCCAGCTCAAGTCGTGACAAGAGTAAATGGATATTTATTTTATCAGGTTGAGCTTTGGAATGACAACACCTACATGATTAACTTACCGGGAGCTTGCAACATTTCCACAACCTTCAATCAGACTGACTTGACCGTCATGAGGAGACAAAAGCTTCGACATATGAGGTCAAAGTTTTCCCAATCTTGGGAGATTGACACGAGAGCAACTCGGGAGGCATTCTTGTGATCATGTCTACAGTACCGCTACAATACTGAGAACTTCTGTGAGTGGCGGCGGCTTGGACCTGTCTAGGAGGATCGGTCGACCATTCCTTCAAGTAGATTTCTCTCTTGTTGGGAATGGGGCCCACTCCTATTTACCCTTAATCTATAAATATGTTATTTTTTGTGTTTTATAGTGGCTTTTGGGTCAGATTTGACAGCCGTTGGTGTCCGTGTTCCCCTTCGAGGGTTGTATCTGAGGGATTGGATGGTGCTTCAATTGTATCGCTCAACCAAGGTGATGCTTATCTTCTCTATTCCCCTTTCGTATACTCCCACACTGCTCTTGCCCGTCGTTCCCTACTGCAGCCACCCTAAACAGTTGTCGTCATTGTTCTTCCTTCAGCTTCTACATTCTAGCCCAAGTTCCTTGTGATTCCCACACCCCCGCTTACTGCCATTGCTATTCCAACCCCCTGCCTTCCACAATTCTTGTTGTCCTCTTTCTGAATCAGTTGCTAGCCCTCCCTCTTATTGTTTCTGATAGCTCACAGCCCTCTCGCTTCCATTGCCGTTCCAGCCCTCCCTGCTCGCTGCCCTCGTTGTCCCAGCTCTCTGCCTTCAATGCTGCCATCAACTGGATGCTGTCAGAAAGCCCTCCGGAGATCAACTGTAATAAGATATTGCACCTTTCATCTTTTTTTCATGCCACGTTATTATCTATGAGAATTCCATCCATGTCACCAATTCATGGGATTTGCTAATTGTAATTAATTATGTAATTATCACTAAACTTTACATATTTTCTTTTAAAAATTCTTTTAAGAATTATATAAATTTTGCACAAATGATAGAGCAAAATATGATAATTTCTCACTATTTCTTATTATGCTATCATAACTCCACTTTTTTTCTCTTAGAAGTTTCGCAAGTTGTCGTCTCATCCCTATCTTGCTTAAGAGTTTTCAAGCATTCATTATTTCAAGCCTCTTTCTTCCACTTAAATTTTCATTTGCAGTCTTCATCACTACAGCAACAACAAAGCCTTAATCCTACTGCGTGGGGTTGGCTACATGAATCTTTTTTCTCCATTGTTTCCTATTTAGTGTCCTATTTTCTTTTAGCTCTAATAAATTAAGATAATTTTTTATACAATAAGCCCAAGTTTTCCTAGATCATATTATCATTTCCATTTGTAGCCTTCATCACTGTACATCAAAAAT